ATTGAGAACTATTTTTCTTATAGAAACCTGATTGTGCACTATCGCCATTTATTCAAAATTCCTAACTTGGCTTCCTGTTTTATTTCTATGTATTTTTCAAAAACTTCGACTTCTCAGTAGGAATCAAACAAAACTTTTTCTTGGCCCAGTTTTTTTACAAAAACATTTGTTCTTTTGGTCTCTTCCATAGTTTACCATAATCGTTTCAATGATCTTGTGCCCGCCCAGACACTGGCGCATTTGAATCAGTTAAAACTCATTATTTGAATTTTTTCTACTCTTTTTACCAATTTTTTTTTTTTTTTTTTAAATTGATGAAGCTATACGTGTTTTTATTTCGATGAAAACGTTTTAATCCTCTACGGGTACACCACTTGGGCGGTCCAGCCCTGCACCGGGGTGGTTTATTACCACACCACCATTGCTGCATTCACCGTTAGTTAGCAACACAACAACAAAATATTACATCTTTATGATATCCTCTTCAAAACAGATGTTGGCTGACTATGTGGGGTACACGGAGAAAATAAAATGGTAAAAATTTCCATAAGGGAATCCGCACATAGTAAACGTTACAAAAGTTTTGTAAGTAATACTAAGGACATAGTAACGACTACCATGGAACATCGTAATGGTTACTATGGGGCATAGTAAGCTCCTCAATGGTGATAGGTACTATGGACATAGCAATAATTACTACGTTACATAGTAGAGCTCCCTATGTTACGTAAAATGTCCTATAACACATGAGGAAATTATTCTAAATAATTAAATACCATCCAGGAATGAAACAGGAGTATATCAATGTTAGAGACAGAAATATCATTAATTCAGAGAGCTCCCAATAAAGCCCATTAAAACTTAAATTAAATTTATAGTTGCATTTTTATTCATATCAAATGAATAGTTTTATAAATATAAAATGCTTTTTTCATACAAGTAATGATTTTATTAGTTAGAAATGTGGAATCATTGTTTAGATGGCGAAGGAAAAGTATTTATTGATGTGTAATAATATAATTGAAGCTTTATTATTGAAATAAGAATATAAATTTCGACTAAAAATATTGTAGAATTTAATAGTAAAATTCCAAATGACGAGTTCAATTTGTTTAATTTTTTTAAAGAGTTTGAGCCTTATAAGCGTTTTGAGTTTATGAACGCATGAAAGGGCAATCAAGAGGTTATTTTAGAGATACGTCCTATGTTCATAGGGCCATTTTCCATTCACATGGTAGACATTCCTATCTCACATAATAACCATTATCATCGGATATAGTAATCATTACCATGTAACATGGTAAGCATTACCCTGGGACATAGTAAGGATTACTAAGTATTGAAAACCCTTTTACTATGTTACCATAGTAATCTCTCCTATGACCATGGTAATATTTACTATTTAATTCTCTCCGGCCATAGAGAGAAAATGCGGTGGGGTGATGAGTAACCCCAGCGTATTCGTAGAGGGTTGATTATGTCGTCGTCGTATAGCCAAAGGGGGGTAAATGGTGTGAATACGCATAGCTGTTACACCCCTTTGCCCCTTTGAATAATTCATTCATCCAAAATAAATCCTCTATTAGATTTAAATAAATCAGTTATTTGATTTAAGTGAAGGATTATTAAATGTACAGTCTAATGAAGTCTTCATTGAGATGAGAGGATCATTCATTTGTACTAAAAAAAATATTTAATTCAAATGAAACATTCTTCTGGTTATGCACCCTTTTCATCGGAGTTTTACGTCTCAAAAATACGATAAACTTGATCTGATTCACGTCGTTAGCCCCAGAGATGTTAATTAAGGACAACAACGTTTTTCATTAATTAAGAACATGCGTTCTCTCCATTCATTATTACCCCCCAATTCGTTATTATAAATTTCAACCAAATTTAATGGCATTCTCCCTCCCACTTTTTAGGGAGAAATAAAAAAAATTATAATGATGTATGATAGGGTGTCGTGAGTTTTCCGGATCACATTAGCCGTGGAAGGAAGAGTAATCCGGGTCGCTATTTCTGCACATTCTTTTTTTCAAATGCATTTCTACAATTCTTTGTCCCCTTTTTCCAAACATAATTCCGTTTTTCTTCAACATATACTAGCATTATACTATAATATTTTAACGTGCTTCCTGACCGAATTGTCCGGGAATCCGGAATATATGCAAATTAAAATCGTTCTAGTTTCCACCATTGCGCGCCCATCGTGGCGCCCCCCCCCCTTCCGCTGCACTCCATTCTCCCCCTCCCCCCTTCCCCCAGTCGCCCGCTCCGTTCGACTATAACGACCAGCGGTGCTTGATATATGATCTCTTATGAACTATCCACTGAAGAAATATAAAAATTCTTTATTTATCTCCACCCGGTGGTACTTTCTCACTATAACAACCGGGTAATGGCACCACCAAATGTTCTTTTCGCAGCGGGAAAAATTAATCTTAAATCATCAATGGTAAATTACGCCGTGAGGCAACATTAAGTGGATTTTTCTTTGGGTTAAGTTGGTTGAGTCATTAGTGGGATTGATGAACTGGTGATTATTCAAATTCCGGATTCCGAATTATAAAGAAATCCCATCTTTAATGGAGTAATTGAGTTACCCAGTGATTCGAATAATCCCTGGCGCTTTAGTCTTGGCTAATTTATGGAGATGGCGCTGTGACCAGGCAGTATTCCACTTTTCAGATAAATCCACAACCGGGGGAATCACATTTTTTTCATGGTAACCTACTTGTGTTACCATTCATCGATAATGAAGATTTTATCTCTCGAAAAAAGCTAACAACTCCAATCGAATTGAAATCTTTCGCAAGCGAAAAAAATCTCAAACTCTGTTTTTCTTTCAACTCCATGTCAACATTATCGCTCCTTCCTAATGATGCTTCCGACTAAAGTTTCCATCTCCAATAATCACTGATGCATATCCGCTTTTCCCAATCACTGAAGGTAAATGTATTTGTCGAGGTGAATGATCCAATTAAGATACATGAATTTCTCTCAAGCAAAACAGTATTGATAATTCACTCAATACCCTGTCATGCATAAATTACTCATTCATCAATTATCTCTGCAATTACGTCAAGATGTTGAGATAAAATTTGACTCTAACTCGTCATTCCTTCTCTCCTCTGCATCACAAATACTTCCCATCAGTGATTCATTTCCTCGGGTTCACACGTACTGTATAACTGTACTGACAATGACAACTATCGATTGCTCACCTCATACTCTCTCCTCTCAATACTAAACACCCTACAGAACCTTTTCTGTAGCCCCCAATACCATTCTTCTCCTCTCCCTCCCGCCATCGTCCTCCCATTGTGACCGACAAATGGCAAGCGAAACGCCGCTACGTTCCTATTTCAGAATTAAATTGACGATGTAATCTCTTAAATTCATTTTTCATCCCCTCGAAAGTCCATCAATTCATTTCCAATTTATTCCTGTCAATATTCGACTATCAAAAAAGGTCGGAGAGAAGGGAAGATGATCTGTCCCCTCCCCCTCCCCCTTTCCCTTTCTCGACGCCCTTCATCAAAATCAACGAATGAATACATCCAAAATGAAAAAAAAGAAAGAGGACCTAAAAATGAAAACTCATAGAAAGGGAAAAAAGAAAAGAAGAAAAATGCAACCGAAGTGAGAGAGCACGAGGAAATCTGACCGTCGAATATCGAGCGGTGAGGCTCCCGGCGGGAAAGCGGGGGTGCGCACATGCAGTTTCTGGGGTAGTTTGAGCTTGAACGCATGCGCCTTATCAAACATCCGTTCACTGACTGTCTCTTTTCCAGTTTTCCTCATTCCGTATTTCCCTCATTGCTTATGTACTCAACTTCCCCAACCCCCACCCCTCGCCATTCCATAGAAAACCTGAAATGTCGCTTTGGCGCATGCGTATCTACCACTAAATCTCTCCATCCTCCTCGGAAGAACAACGTTGAACGTTTATTGAAGTGAGATCGCCCATAAAAGCTACAGGACTCGATGGATATTCCAGGGTGGGGTAGACTGGTGTGGGCATTTGCGGAGTCGGAGGAGGGTGTGGTAGAGGGTAAAATGGTAGAAGAGAGTAAGGAGGAGGATAACGATGGTAAGACCAGGAGCGTTGTATAGGCACGTTTAAACGTAGAAAACAAGGGGGAGGTATGGTCTTGTATTCCAGTGTGCAGCGGGCGGGCATCGCGGCGGCGGCGGCGCCGTTATGCTGCTCCTGTAAAAACTCCTTTTAGAACGCGGTGTGTAACAGTACTCGTCATATGCATTTTCACGGTTTAATCGTCGGTGTCAACTTCAATTCACCAGCGTTGGAGACGTGACGATATAAAGGGTGGGATCTATGAGGATTGAAGGCAAAGGTGTATGCAGGATGAAGATAATTTTATTGACAAGCACTCGTGAAAAAAATTGAATTAACAAAATAAATAGGAAAAATCTCCGGATTAAGCTGACAGTTAAATAGAGTGGTGTGAGTTATTGTGTTATGTACTAATACAAGAGATTCAAATCAAAATAAATAGAGAGGGAGAGAGTGACGAGACAAGTTGTCAAGGTGAGGCTGTGGAGATATTGTGAGAAGGTGGAAAATTGAGGAGAATAAGAGGAGTGAGCAGGAGTTGTAGAAAAACCGAAGTGGAAGAAGTGGCAGAGGGAGCTGCCGCACCTACTCGCGCTTCTTTCGCAGCCATACACACACTTTTGGGGAGCGAAGATGCAACGGACGAGAGTCTACACGAGCCCCGAGACTCCCTGATAAAAACTTTATTTGGATCCGCGTACGTGCGGAGACAAATGGCTATTCACCGTTTGTGAAAAGAAAAGGTACCCACTTTAAATCTTCTTCAGTGGGTAAGAAAAAATTTAAAAAGACGATTCCACTCAGAGTGAATCCCGGGACTTACTGGGCTCTGGGGGGGAGGGGGGGGGAAATTCACATCTCCACAATGCCCCAGTGCTGATTTCAAAATCTGGAAACAGGCCCCGGGGTGTTATCGTGATAATTACCGAGTTTCGGGTGTGCGTGTCAACTGTGACCTGTGACTGAATTTAATTGCATGTAACTGTGGGTGGGGGGAGGAGGAGAAAAAGGGGATTGGAGGAGTTAATCTAGTGATTTATACGTATGCGTGGAGAAACAGTATGAATGTAGACGAGTTTGATACAATGTGTTCATGTAATGGTTGATGTTTTACATGTGTCGTAAATGGTGTACAGTGATATTGTTGGTGTTTGGGTGGTGGCAATTTTAGCCGTACACCGTAAATATAATCGAGAATGTCGGGCCACAAAATTAGAGTAACGGGTAAGATAATGGCAACCTTATTCGTTCTCATCGCAGCAGCAACATCGTCCACGAGGGGCCATCGTCCTGCCCCAAATAATCCAGCACAACTGGTACCCAGTACGGCCTCACCCTCGTCATTGTACATGAATGGTGGTAATCTGACTCATCATCACAATGTTCATCAGAATAAAGCACCATGGGATGGTTTCAATAGTACAATCCATCATTTAAATGCACACGTCAAGGGACATAATAGAACTGATAATGAAACTGAGGAGAAAGTGCCACTTTTTCCAACTGATTTGTTCACTATTGAGGAGAGACAGCGTGGTGCTGTTATACTACATCTATTAGGGGTTATATACATGTTTGTTGCCCTTGCCATCGTCTGTGATGAATTTTTTGTCCCATCATTGGATGTTATTATTGAAAAATTGGAAATAGCTGATGATGTTGCTGGTGCTACATTCATGGCTGCTGGGGGTTCAGCACCAGAATTATTTACATCGGTTATTGGTGTGTTTGTGTCATTCGATGATGTTGGCATTGGTACCATTGTTGGTTCAGCTGTATTTAATATTCTGTTTGTAATTGGTATGTGTGCAATATTCTCAAAAACAGTATTGTCACTCACATGGTGGCCATTGTTTCGTGATTGCACATTCTACAGCGCCAGTTTACTAACGTTAATATACTTCTTTCGGGATAACTTTATACATTGGTACGAGGCACTTGTATTATTCTGCTTCTATCTGGCCTATGTTAGTTTCATGAAATGGAATCAACCGATGGAGAAACTCGTCAAGAGGATATTGTACAGAAATAAAGTAACCAGGGTTAGATCGACGGATCAGCTCATGCCATCGGTGAGTCTATTTGGTTATTTTGGTGGATGTTGAGTTTGCTGATGAGGAATGGAGATTTTTTTCATATTTTACGTGCTGCATCTAGGTGCATTCTGTGTTATCATTGACATTCATCATCCCTCAGGTTTAATCCACTGGATATTTTCTGTTTTGTTCCTTTATTTGGGCTCAATTCTATCGAGATTTTTTTTCTAGCGAAATAAATGCGAATGAGTTCTTGATATCACAGATCAAAACATATCGGAGAGGTTTTTTAGTGATAAAAGCCCATTGACATTGGCAATGGTATTGTTGAGAAGTCCTTCCTCTCTCTAGGACGTTTTTCGATACCCCAGCACGTAAAGTACAATTGGATGTAATCGAATGGGTAGTAACTGCGAAAAAAAAGAGAGAAGGAGAAACAGAGTGTCATTTATTACCCTCAGGAGTTATTGACTGACTCTTAATCAAAAATTTATCTTCAATGGAATAAAATGGATAAAAATTTATTAAACCATTGCGAGTGAGATGTTGGAGTAAGGGGAGGTGAAATTTTATAGGGAAATTACTGATGGAAGATGTCGGATACTGTTGACCCTCCAGGATTTTTTTTATTTGAAGGGGGAGAAAATAAAAACTAGCACTGCAGCAACTTGGCTGTAAAGCCGCACCAATCGATTCGCCTTTCGATGCTCAACCCCCCCCCCCCC